CTCCTCGCTGGCACAAAATTATATATATATATATATATATATTCACATTTTGTATTTACGTCAAACCAAATAATTGAATTTTCGCAGTTAGATAAAATGATATTGTAATACATATAACGTACTTGATCATACCATGGTTAAGTAATAAATTAAATATGTATATGAAAGACACATCTTATATTTATTGATTTGATATAACTAATTACTCGTAGATGCGGATGTTGCTCACGGGCTACGAGTTCAATTAAACTCATAACTTTAATACATGACATATATATATATATATATATATATATATATATATGTGTGTGTGTGTGTGTGTGTGTGTGTGTGTGTGTGTCTTAAAAGATCTTCAAAATTTCAATAAATATTATATTCAGAATTCATAATCTTTAATGTGCAATGGATTCAGTAATAAAAATATAAAGATTAAACCCATTAAATTAAGAACTTGGATCTGCATCTGCTAACTGGTATGGGTAAATGTTTAACGGATTTTTATATTTTCCAACATTTGACTATTCTGTATTTCAAAAATAACGACTTAACTACTTGACGTAGCAGCATTTAAATGCATGACTTGAGACGTTCTTCAACATGGGAATGTAATCTTTGGCTCTCTTATAACAAGATCTTTTTTCCCTTTTATATTTTCATCTTATGATAACAACTTCTAACGTCCTAGTTGATGAATAATATTCAGTCTTCATTGTTTATTAGAGTAAAATATAGAGGTGAATGGTCAAAATGAGCAATGTCCGTCTACTTTACTTTTCAGTCATTTTATCATGCAAACTTTCGACATCTATGTTTTAAAAATGACATTATATTACGAAAGCTATAATTGACCTTTGTGTAAACCTAATATAGTTCAATACCTGTAAAAAAAAATTCTTCTGATTGTTGTAAGAATATTTCAAAAAGCAATATGCTTCTGATAGCAATTTGAGATTAAAAAAAAAAAATGTATCCCTGAAGATAAAAAATTTATTCTTACCTCTATCCCTATTTCAGAAGGGATTTCCTTTGGAAAATACCTTGGCTTTCCTATCTTCACATCCCGACCCGCAAAACGAGATTTTTAATTTTTTCTTGATAACTTTAAAACAAAATTTGCGGGTTGAAAAACAAACCTCCTTAGCATGGCAGGTCGCACTACCCTTATTAACTCCACTCTTAATAGCTTACCAAATCATGTAATGCAGTGTATCAAAATCCCTCAATATATCATTCATGAAAGGAAGATACCAGCGTAACTTTTGGTGGGGGACAACTCCCCATAAGAAAAAAATTCATCTTTTAAAATAGAGCACAGGCACTACCCCGAAGCAACATGGTGGCATGGGCATTCAACAACTCCAATTGAAAAACTAGACTTTGCTCACCAGTCAAGCTTGGTGATTACTTAAATAACTTACTTCACTGCGGGCTGCCACATTACTTCATAAATATTTTTACCGCAAACGTGATGCAACCACCAATGGCTCTTTCATTTGGGAAAATCTTATTGTTGGCTGGCACCTTTGCCCAGGGGCGAAGCTACAGTGTAGCAAGGGTGGTCAACTGACCACCCTTCGTCGGAAAATGTCGGAAAATTAACACTGTGTATATAGGAAAAAAATTAGATTTATATGCATGTAATACATATTGAACACCCTTGCAACAATGAAGAATCATAGCTCAGTGGCAAAGGGTGGTCAAGAGGGCCTCATGGGCGCGGGTTCGAGCTTCACTCTACACAATTTTTGTTGCGTTCCAAATTTTTATTTTTTAAAAAGACAAACAGAATAAACGACGTCGTTAGTTCTGTTTGACTAACTTTATAAAATAAAAATCTAGAACAAATAATCTTTATAAAACAAAAAATTGGAATAAACAAATCAAAATCCCTACTACTGCAAAACCTAGGTAATTTTGGTACTGCAACTCTGCAAGTGATTTTGGTCTCTATCTTCTCCAATCTATCTAACTCTCTGCTACTGCAAGTGAGAACTGAGAATTGAGAAGTGACAAGTGAAGTTCTGGGTTTGGAAGTTCTTGCTGCCAGGGGCGAAGCAGAGCTACAGTGTAACAAGAAAATTTCAATCTCCATTAATCTAGTCTCCACTCTCCATTGAACATTTGAACTGGTTAGAACTTAGAAACTTTTGTCTTTCCCTTTCCTTTTTTGCTTCAAAGTTTCAGTTTTGGTATTAATTATTAAATATTAAAGTTCTCTGATTTTTGGTTTGGTACTGTGGCTAAAAAGGGTCTACTTAAGATATTTGAGCACAAATAGAAAGACATGTAAATCCTTGAGTAATAGTTAAAGTTTACTGATTTTGTGTGTCTCGGACTTAGGAATAATATGTTTTAACTACTTTATACATTTAGGGAATTGAAGTTGCAATGAACTTGTTAAAATTTTACAGCAAAGTACCAAAAATAAGTTCGGCATCTCAAAATCCATCTAACAGAGAAGAAAATGCCAATCAATCAGATTTTCCCTCGCATTCTTCTATAAGACAAGAAATTGATACAATTGCTCCACAATCCGATCCAGCTGAAAGAACTCCAATATTGGAGTATCATCCAAACCATCGCGATGAAATAAGGAGGGCATACATTCAAGGTGGTCCTTGCCAACCTCGATATCATGACTTCCCTCAATCTGACTTTTTTGGATTTAAGCGTCGTTTTAATCCTATATGGTTTGATGATTTTAATTGGTTGGAGTATAGTGTAAGTACCGATGCTGCATATTGTTTACCTTGTTATTTATTTAAGGGCGAAAGTATTCATCACGGTGGTGGTGATATTTTTTCGAGTAAAGGGTTTAGGAATTGGAACAGAAAAGAATGTTTTAAGAAACATGTTGATTTGCCAAATAGCATTCATAATAAAGCAAATAGAAATTGTGATGATCTAATGCGGCAACAACAGTCTATTATTGTTGCATTTAACAAACAGTCTGATCAAATTAAGCGTGAGTATTGGCTTCTCTTAAATGCTTCAGTTGATGTGGTAAGGATTCTCTTGAATCAAGGATTTGCATTTCGCGGTCATGACGAAAGTGAAACGTCATTAAACAAGGGTAATTTTATTGAAATTCTTTCATGGTATGCGGATAAATGTGATAAGATTAAATCATTTGTGTTGAAACGTGCTCCAAAAAATAATAAGATAGACTTCTTCAGATATTCAAAAAAGAAATTATGACCGCATGTAAGATAGAAACTATTAAGGCTATAATAGAGGATCTAAATGGTGACTACTTTGCTTTATTAGTTGATGAGTCTATAGACGTGTCACGCAAAGAGCATTGTTCATGTTATGTCGATAAAAAAGGAAGTGTGATGGAGAGATTTATTGGCATTGTTCATGTTCGGGATACAAGTGCTTTATCTCTAAAGAAAGTAATTGTCGATGTACTTGTTCATCATTCTTTAAGTTTATCTTCTATACGTGGACAATGTTATGATGGGGCAAGCAATATGCAAGGTGATATTAAAGGTCTTAAGAAGTTGATTAAACAAGAAAGTAGATCGGGTCATTCTATTCATTATTTTGCACATCAACTTCAACTAACTCTTGTTGCGGTTTCTAAGAAGTGTGTTCATGTAGGTGAACTTGTATTATTGGTTTCAAATATTTTGAATGTGTTGGGAGCTTCTTTTAAACGTGTGGATGAATTTCGAGATTCTCAAAATGAAAAACTCCGAGAGGCATTAGATATGGGTGAACTAAAAACAGGTAGAGGCTTGAATCAAGAATTTGGTCTTGTTAGAGCCGGTGATACTCGTTGGGGATCTCACTACAAGTCATTTGGAAACTTTATTCATATGTTTGGCTCTATTGTTGATGTTCTTGATACTCTCGTTGAAGATGCAGGTACTTTAGATGATAGAGCTAAGGCATCGGGGTATCTTGAAGCTTGTCAAACATATAAGGTTGCTTTCTTGTTGTATTTAATGACAGATATTTTGGGAATCACTAATGAGCTGAATGTATCCTTACAAAAAAAAGAGCAAGATATTGCAAATGCCATGCTACTTGTTCAAGTAGCAAAGAAAAGATTGCAAACTTTAAGGAGGGATGATGAATGGGATTTGTTTATTGATAAAGTATCTATATTTTGTATCAAGTATGATATTTTGGTGCCTAATTTTGATGATCTATATGTTAACTCTGGAAGATCACGGCGAAAACCTGCTGATTATACTGTCTTTCATCATTATCGTGTTGATGTATTTTGTAAAGTTCTTGATTGGCAACTTCAAGAACTTAATGATCGTTTTGACGAAGTGACGACTGATTTGCTTCATGGAGTTGCTTGTTTGAATCCAATTGACTCATTTTCAAGTTTTGATATCAGAAAAATAATGAAGATGGCTGAATTGTATCCTGATGACTTTGATGAATTTCGGATGAGTGCTCTTGAGAATCAACTTGCGAGTTACATTATTGATGTTCGTGATTTTGATGAAAGGTTCTCCAATCTAAATGGGCTTTCTGATCTTTCAAAAAGATTAGTTAAGACAAAGAAGCATTCAGTTTATCCTCTTGTATTCCTCTTAGTGAAACTTGCGTTGCTTCTGCCTGTTGCCACTGCAACCGTTGAAAGAGCTTTCTCGGCAATGAAGTTTATCAAGAATGACTTGCGGAATCGAATGGATGATGACTTTTTAAGCGGTTGCATAGTGCCTTATGTAGAAAGAGAAGTATTTAGTATTGTTTTTAATGAGTCTATTATAAAAATATTTCAAGAGATGAGGCCTCGTCGAGTACAATTGTAATAAGTAGAATCACTTTTCGATGCTTCTTTATATTAGTTTGGATTAATCCAATTGTTCGTACTATTACCCGTATTTTTATAATTTAGCTCGATATCACGTTGTTTGATTTAAATTTTTCGGTGCAACGACTTGTTGAGAATTTTTTTTCTTGTTCAAGTTTGAACACCCTTGAAATATTTTCTAGCTTCGCCACTGCGGCTTTGCCAATAAGGAATATGATGGATCCTAGGTAATGACACTCTTATAAAATTTGGACAGACTCTTGGTTACCATCACATACACCCATTCACAACTACTTAATTGGGCCCTTACCCTGTAGTGCATATACTCATACGGTCTCTACCAATTTATCCCTTGGACAATAGGATTTTACATCCCTCCCCTTTGAACTTCCACCTCCACTACTTCAGAATATTTTTAGTATACATATCCCTTCCTATACAACTTCCCCAAACTCCTACACTTGGACTCTCATGATGCATGAGAACTTCACCACTAAATCACTCTACCACCATTTACTTCCACTTCCCTCTAGACACTCCTTCACGTGGATATGGAAACTCCAACTACCTCGCAAAATAAAATATTTCCTCTGGATATGCGGACATCATCGTCTACCCACTGCTGCCCACTATCATCACCTCGGCAAACTAAACATCGACGTTTGTGCTAAATGCTTTACTAGCCCTGAAACTATTAGGCATACCCTCCTAGAATGCCCAGCCAACACACAAATATGGGATGACCTCTAAATGCTCCCGAAACTTGCGGGACTTCAGGGGCTTGACGACTCCCCTATTCAGTGGCTAAAACAACTTATCTTACATAACGATATCCCTAACTCCCTAAATATCCCCAAATCCATTTGTATGTCGTTCTCTCTCTCGCATATTTGGTTAGCTCGAAATGCTATAGTTTTTCGCTCACCTACAAAAAGGCTTTTTGCCTCTCATATCCTCAACTTGGTGGCCGAATTTTATATTGCTATCTTACCACCATCTTCACATAGTCGTATCCCCATACAACTTCAATGGCACTCCCCTAGCAATACTCCTTTCAAACTAAACACCGATGGATAAACCCACATAGATACTAGCCATGGAGGGATTAGCGGTGTCATACGTGACTCTATGAGTAACCGGCTCATCGGCTTTTCATCAGGACATCACTTCTCGTATGGGAGTGTTGAATCTGAACTACGTGCGCTATATCATGGATTGCAATTAGCATATATTCATGGATACAAACCTATCGAAGTGAACTTAGATGCTCAAACAATAATTAATATATTACATACCTCACACCCTTTATATACTAATCTTATACATGATTATAGGCTCTTGCTTGGGTAGCTCAATGATCCTGTCATACTTTACACATACATGGAGCAAAACTAAGTAACTGATCTACTAGCAAAGAATGGTTGTCCTAAGGATAACACTGCATGCATCACTGTTTTTCCACAACCACCGTCTTTTGTACAACTAGCTTTGGAGGAAGATCGCTCAAGCACACTTTTTGTCAGAAGGTTTGCAACATCAGTTCTACAACACGCAACATGTTCACAAAATCCTCTTAGACAACCTGTTTGTAGTTCCAGAAATTTGGATGTTAATAGTAGTAGTATGTCACGCCCCAAACCTGAAGAGGCGTGGCCGGCACCCGGTACCATATTCGGCCCGAACGTACCACTCTGTAATTGTGAGCTCTGGAGGGGTAACCCTCAACTTAGGCCGATGAGGCCATATTCTGAATCGTCTAAAAATAACGCCTCTCTCATATGTGGGGTAAACATACCCAAAAGCTAATATATATAACCGTGCAGGCCGACGAAGCCGCCATGAACATCTACTGATATACAAAATATACAGGACTCGTCTACAAGCTTCTAGAGATAACTGAACTATACCATGGTCGGGATAGGGCCTCGACCTACCCATTAAACTTGTATATATAAAATGGACTCCAAGGTCTAGACCTGGTAACTCCGAGAAAGTGGAGCTTACCAACCAAGCTGATGTTTGACTATGTCTGATAGGAGGGTCTGTCCCACTGTCAATCAGGACCCGCAGGCATGAAATGCAGCGTCCCCGGCAAAAGGGACGTCAGTACGAAATAATGTACCGAGTATGTAAGGCAACAAAATAACTGAAAGCTAAAACTGAACTAATAATATAATAACTTAAAGTAATTGGGAGTCAAAGATAATCTGAAGATATGCTTACATGTTGATACTGACTCAACTCTGTCAATATAGTAAGTAAAATAGATGTCCGGCCTTATAAGGCTCGATATGTGTAGCTGCTCTGCCGTAGTAGGCTCGCTCATAGGCGCTCGGCCATACTAGGCTCTATATATCGGCCATTCTGGGCTCGCTCATAGGCGCTCAGCCACAGTAGGTTCGGTATATAACTTACCATCTGATCAGAGGTTGCCCAATAGGGGCCTGCCCATCGATTATAGCTCGATGGTAGTGAAAATACTGTAATACTGTATATATATATATATATATATATATATACCCTCTGCTCTCTTGACTGGAAGAAAACAATACTTAACTGAATATAAAGTCCCAATAAGGGGTAATACTGTAACTTATGAAACTAGGATAATGTACATAAGTTCAGGAATACGAACTTCTCTTTATGCCTCGTTATCAAACTCATGTAGTTACGAGATCAAGCCAAAATGAAGGAAATGTTTAGCCTTAACATACCTTAACCTTGTTGAGTCCTTAATATCTTCCAAACAACTCTTCAAACAACTCAACTCAGTCTACCATAGCATAACAACAACAACAATAACCTAGTAAAATCTCACTAATGGGGTCTGAGGAGGGTAGTGTGTATGCAGACCTTACCCCTACCCCGAAGGAGTAGAGAGGCTGTTTCTGAAAGACCCTCGGCTAAAAAATAAATAAAAAGACAAAAGGACAAAAAGGAGACAATATAAGTATCGCAACAGCAATCATAGGAAAAATAGGAACACCATGAAATCCAGAAGAAAGATGCAAAACAAAGGAAGACAATATTAGTAAATATTAGTATCACCACAATAATCATAAGAAAAATAGGAACACCATAAAATCTAGAAGAAAGATGCAGAGCAAAAGCGATAGCTAGTAAATAGGACATGCACTGAAAAGCGAAATAGTAAGACACAACATTGGCACTAGCTATCTTAGACAAAAACCCTACATGGCTAGTCCCACAATGGTACGAAGTAAGGCACGACTCGACTATATTAACCTATAACCCTAATACTCGACCTCCACATCTTCTTATCAAGTGTCATGTCCTTGGAAATCTGGAGCCTCGCCATATCCTGCCTGATCACCTCTCCCCAATACTTCTTAGGCCGCCCTCTACCTCTTCTCGTGCCCTCCACAACCAGTCGCTCACACCTCCATACCGGAGCATCTGGGCTTCTCCTCTGAACATGTCCGAACCATCCAAGCCTCGCTTCCCGCATCTTGTCATCAATGGGAGCCACATGCACCTTCTCCTGAATATCATCGTTCCTAATCTTATCTATCCTAGTGTTCCCACACATCCACCGCAACATCCTCATTTCTACTACTTTCATCTTCTTGATATGTGAGTTCTTAACGGGCCAACACTCAGCCCCACACATCATGGCCGGTCTAACCACCGCTTTATAGAACATACCTTTGAGTATCGGTGGCACTCTCTTGTCACACAAGACTCCAGATGCTAACCTCCACTTCATCTATCCTACCCCAATACGGTGTGTGACATCCTCGTCGATCTCCCATCCTTCTTGGTAACCGAATCAAGGTACTTGAAGCTGCCTCTACTCGGGATGACTTGCGAATCAAGCCTCACATTCACGCCCACTTCCCCTGGCTCAGCGCTGAACTTACACTCCAGGTATTCTGTCTTCGTCCTGCTTAGCTTGAAACCCTTAGACTCAAGNTTAGGTCAATAAACACTATGTGCAGATCCTTCTTCCTCTCTCTGTACAGTTCCACCAACCTTCTAACAAGGTGTATAGCTTCTGTAGTCGAATGACCCAGTATGAACCCGAACTGGTTGTCGGATACAGACACTGTCAACCTCACTCTCGCTTCAACCACCCTCTCCCACACTTTCATGGTATGACTCAGTAATTTGATACTCCTATAATTGTTACAACTCTGGATATCACCTTTGTTCTTATACAATGGAACCACTGTACTCCACCTCCACTCATTCGGCATCCTCTTCGCCTTAAAAATAATATTAAACAACCTAGTCAACCACTCCAAACCTGCTCTCCCCACACACTTCCAAAATTCCACCGGAATCTCGTCTGGCCCGGTCGCTCTACCCATACTCATCTTACGCATAGCTCCTACGACCTCCTCAACCTCAATACGCCTACAGTATCCAAAGTCACAGTGACTTTCAGAATGTTCCAATTCGCCTAACACAATATCCCGATCCCCTTCTTCATTCAGAAGTTTATGAAAGTAAGTCTGTCATCTCCTCTTAATCTGGGCATCTTCCCTCAATACTCTACCATCTTTGTCCTTGATGCATCTCACTTGGTCCAAATCCTGAGCCTTCCTCTCTCTCTCAACTTGGCCAACCGGAATAACTTCTTCTCCCCATCTTTTTCCCCAATTCCTCGTACATACGACCATAAGTCGCAATCTTAGCCTCCGTGACCGCCATCTTAGCCTCCTTCCTAGCTACCTTATACCTCTCCATGCACACTCGCCTCTCCTCCTCACCTATGCTCCCCACTAACTTCAGGTACGCCGCCTTCTTCGCTTCCACTTTACC